GTGCACGCACCAGAAGTTGTGTACGAACAATCCTTCCGTCTTGTTGGTCCCCAGGGAGAGAAACAGACTCATTGATCTGTGTTCCTGAAGGGTTGCATAAAAGATTCAGGAGAAAGCTGAAGTGTTGGCTGGCGCGCAGTGGGTTAAGTGGGCTGGGTACCAGGACTCTGAGGGATGCCTTAGAGAAGCGGCTGAGGTCAGGTCCTTTTAGACTTTCCGGGCTCTCTCAACGCGGCTGGCCGAGATGATGACACGGAGCAGCAGGGCCTGAAGGGACCAGGCAAAGTGGGCAGGGGCAGAATGGGGAGGAGGCATGCTCCCCACTGGGGATAGAACCTGCAAACCGGGCATGTGTCCTTGATCAGAATCGAACCCGGGACTTTTCAGTCCGCAGGCTGATGTTCTATCCACTGAGCCAAACCGGCTAGGGCAGGGAAGGTCACTTTTGAAGAAGGTGATTTGCACTGAGATCCCAAGAAGGGCAGCACTGTAAATAACACAGGAATGAGCATTCCACATAGACGAGACGTCCAGTGCCAAGACTCTTAGAAGGAAAACAGGCTTTGCCCATTCAAAGAACAGACTGTTCTTCAGGCCCCTGGGCCTCTCAAGCTTGGTGAGCAAAGGGGAGACGAAGCCATGCTTGGTTCTGGAAGTCCTAGAGGCAGCGTAAAAGCCCCAGGCTAACTCTGAGCACAGTAGGGAAGACCCAAATGCCAAATGTGGGGTGTAATACTATATCTCCCTAAAGAGAGACTTCCTAACTTCATCATATTTCCCAAGACTTATCATCCCTCCTCCCCCAAAGTGAATAGCACCTAATTCAGTGAACTGCTTAGGAAAACAGTACCTGCAAGGGGGCAGGGGAGTTCTTTCTATTTGTGTGTGCCTGTATTCTTTATATTTTCTGCACCATTTGAAGGGCTATACTTTCATACTTCTCTCTATCTCTTATTGCTTCCTAAGTATTTCCTAGGAATAGGGAATTTTCTTACATACTACAGTACAGTCTTCAAATTTGGGACATTTAACATTGATTCAATAGTTTTATCTAATCTACTATTTATATTTTTTCAATTTTCCTAATAATGTCTTTGTAAATTTCCCCCCAGGATTCAGTACAGGACCATGAATTTATTGCATTTAGTTGTCTTTTCATTCTTGTTAAATATGGAGCAGTGCCTTCGTCTTTTCGTTGCCCTTCACGACAAAGGCTACTCATTTTATAGAATGTGACTTGTTTCGTCTAGCTCAGTGGTCAGCAAACTCATTAGTCAACAGAGCCAAATATCAACAGTACTTCTTCAAAACAGACTCGCCCAGGCCGAAAACCGACTTCTGCGCATGGGCCACGAAAGTTTCAATTGCACTGTCCGCGCGCACCCATATGTAGTGTTTTGTGGAAGAGACACACTCAAGGGGCCAAAGAGCCGCATGTGGCTCTGGAGCCGCAGTTTGCCGACCACTGCATTAGAGGTATTTGAAAATCACAAGGCCCCTTCCCTCCCGTTGATACGAGTATGCCTAAAAGCGATCCTGAATCGAAGCATGACATCAGGAGTCTAAAACCCCCTAAGGCTCTGCCTCCAAATTCCCCAAACCCGCCTCCAAGTGCCGTTCCCCCTCTTGGAGATTCCCTCTTCCTTTCCCCGAGTAATTACAGGAAAGATAAAAGCTAACATGCCTTTCTGCGGAACTTATTTTTAAACGCCCTTCTGCCCAAACCACAGAGACCATGTGCAGAGATGATTTAGAAGGACTTGAACTTGTTAATTAACCTAAACAGTCACATTCATCTGCAAGATGCATTGTTAATTAAAACTGCGATTCTCCGTGTGCCCAGACAGAGGGCTGCTGATGTCAGAATAATTAGATAGTCTGTAATGGTTTTCTTGCAAATCCCTGGCAATTAGAGTTGGCGATGAATTGGGTTTAAAATCCCAGTGAAGTTTTCAATTAGGATTCCTCTGAGGGTGGCTTCGGAAGGAAGGTGATGGTGAGGCTGGGGGGATGGGGGGTGAAAGGAAAAGGGGGAGGTGAAGGGGGTGAGGACAAGCTCCTCGGTTCCTAAATCCTCTGGGAGGGGCCTGAGCTGGGGATAAATGAACAGTGGGCACCAATGTGATCTCCAACCTTCCCCTGAAAACAAGTCTCTCTCCTTAAAGATGCAAATGCAGGTCGACCCCCCCACCACCCACCCAACCCCCCGGGCGTTGTGTGCCCCCAGGAGCCTGCTGCCTGGATTTTGTCTCTTGGAGAGGATTTTTCTTTAGTCGGGAGGCCCAGTAACTCTCATACAGCTGATGTCCCTGCCAACCCTAAGATTAAAGGCTTAAGGGTTCTAAGAAAACAGGTACGAACAATCCTTCCGTCTTGTTGGTCCCCAGATGATTGGCTGGCCTGGGGAGAGAGCGCTGTTTGGGGGCAGTGACTCGGCACTGATTCTTTGCCTAGGTGTTCCTCTTCTCCACGAGACTTTCAACCGTCTAGGGTGGAGCAACATGTGTGATTCCTACAAGATTAATTAATTCCCATACTCAGCACGTTTCCTGAACTCTCACTATGCTCCAGTCACTACACAAGTTCTTGTACCCTTACACTTGTTTTCCAGTGGAGGGAGGAGGTGGTAGATGAGCAACAAACTGGTAAACAAGCAAATGAAGCACAAACAGAATTTCAGCGTGCGATAAAGGCCACACTGACAATGTCCCCAGTGTGTGGGTGAGGAATCATGGGGAAGTCGGGGCTACACCCCATTGGATGTCAGGGAAGTCACTTTTTTTTATTTCAGAGAGGAAGAGAAAGGCAACTTTAGGGAGGGGTTTCTAACCAGCCCGGCAAAGTGGGCAGGGGCAGAATGGGGAGGAGGCAACTTTAGGGAGGGGTTTCTAACCAGCCCTGACCTCTGAGAGGCTGATAGGTGGCAGGCTTTCAGGTCCCCTTTTCCTTTGGAGGGATGGGAGGCGGCTGAATCACCTGGGATTCTTGCTCGTTGGACTGAGCAAGGAGGGATTTTCACTGGAGGCCTGAACCGGGTTAGACAAGACAAGGCCAATGGTCTTCAATGAAGTTTCCCTCGCCTGGGATTGATACTGAGCGAGTCAGCAAGTCACAGACACCCTCACCTTCCCCATATCTAGGCCATTCTACCCCGTGGGAGGGGGTTGGGCAATGTCTGTAGGACTGAGCGGGTGGGTCACAGGTTGAAGGGGCAACTATGAGGAAAGCTGAAAAGGAAATAAGAGAAAAAGAAAAGACTGGAACACGCTCAGGAACTGTGTTAACATCATTCAGCTTTGCAAGCTATCTTTCTTCTTCACTTCCTGCCCCTTCCTTTCTCTTTCGGAATGTCTCCCGCATCTCCATCCGTCCCTACATCTTACCTTTCCACTTAGCATGCACCAAGCAGCAGCTAACCTAGTAGTCACTAAGAGACAGGAGGTGGGGGGCTTTGGAGGGCTTGTCACCGCACCCACCCAGGAAACTTCCCAGGGCCTCTCACGCTGTCCGCCTCGGATGCTCTAGCTCCTCTCTGCCTCTCCTGCCCTCGGCGAGGTCTCTCCAAGCCCAGAGCCAGGCAGTTGGTGTGGGGCAGGAGCCCGGTATAGCTCACCTTTGAAAAATGGAAAAACCACATCTGGATTCTAATGCAAGGCACCCTCTCAAGTTTCCCCAGCTTTTAACTGAGTTAAAGAGAGGAACAGAGAGAGAGAGAGAGAGAGAGAGAGAGAGATATCTTGGGTAGAGGGGGAAATTTTGGTGGCAGTATAAGTCGTTCCCCTTATGTAGAGGGGCTCTTTCATTGTTCTTCCAATCATCACCTGAATGTGGCTGAGACAGGGTGGAGAAAAAGCCTCCAGGACCAAGCTTAGCAGCCAGAAAATCAGGGGGACATTTAAGGAAGAGGTACCCAGGGCAAGGGATAGTGTGAGAGATGGAAGAAAAGATTTGTGTGGGAGAAAAGGCTTATTCCAAGAGCTGGGGTTTGAAAGAGGAGTTTGGGGCATTCTAAGCAGAAATGAATCAGGTCAGGCCCCTAACCCTTTAAGTTCCTCATGTTGCACCACTTCTTGACTCTTAGTTCCCTGCATGCAACCTCTGCAGAAAAGATTAGGCACAGAAACTGGGGTAAAGAAAACATATGTGTAGAAAGTGTGTCATAATTCCCGATTCCATGTCCTGAGAACAGGGATGGAGAGCAGAATGAAGTGGGGGCGGGGGAGAGCGGGGGCTGAGGTAGGTGAGAACACACACAGACACACACACACACACACACACACACACGGGTGTTTGCAATTCCCACACTAACGGGAGGTAAGCAGACATGTCAACATAGTATTATATGTATGCATCTAACATGGATGTGAGCTTTAACAGATGGAGACAGGCAGGTGTACATGCTCACACACATGAGGATGAAGGTCATGCTGAGGAACCAACCTCACAAGAATGACTTCTAGGTAGTGGCTTCCAGAATTATCTTGATATGTCCCCTGGACTCTGTGAGGTTCCAGGAAGCTTCTCACCACCTTTCCCACCACCACTCTGATCTCTAAACAAAGCCAACAGGTGTCAGGGAGACAAAAGGCACGGAGGACTGAGGACGGCGGAACAGGCCAGCCAGGGAGGGGGAGTCGGGCTGTGGGCTCATCTCTGCTTTGCTGTCTCTGGTTTCTATTTGTCTTTCATGTGCTCTCTGTAGCAGTTTCTCTTCTTTCCTGACCTGCTAAGCCATCTCTTCTGGTGTTTCAGGTTTAGCTGCTCCCCTCCTATTCCGGTCCCCTTTCCCTTCCCCCTGGGAAGAGATGGCAGTGACCTCCCACCTGGAGAAAACACCTGTGTGCCCCGAGGATGTTGGTACATCCCCCACTTACTCCCCAAGCCAGGCAGAGCAGCCGCAGCCAGCAGGGCAATCTGGCGTGCAATCAATCGATCTCGGTCTCTCTCTCCATTTTCCTGCCTCTCCTCGACGTCTCCAGACAAAGTAAGAGACCACCAGCTTCATAAAAGCAGCGCGGACTTTAATTCAGGTTGGCAGGTGGGAAGGGAGCTAAGATTTCCCTCCCAGGGCGTCCGGAGGAGAGGACTGTCTTGCTGGGAGGGCCAAGGAGGGCACAGCCGTGCGAGTCACCCGCTGGCAGAAGAAGGCCAGGAGCAGGGGCACGGCCACGCAGTGCAGGATGGCCAGCGCCTCTGCCAGGTGCAGCAGCAGGTCCAGCGCCTGCTGGGTCGGGCAGGACGACAGCACCAGGAACCTGGACCTCACTAGTAAGTCCAACCCCCACAGCACTCCGTGAAGCCACCAGAAAATGAACCAGAGCCACAACACGTCAACCCAGGGACACGGCCCCCTGCCCAAAGCCCTTTTCACCCCCTTGGCTCCCAATAAACCCAGTGGCAACAAGACAAAGATGGCAAAACAGCTGGCAGCGTGCAGAAACTTCAAAACGCCCTGGCCAGGTGACAAGGAGCAGAATCCACTGGAGGTGTCACTGGCCAGGGTGATGGGCAGCGCCAGCAGGATGGCCAGTCCCCAAAGGCCCACAGTGAGCCCCAGGATGAGGCGTGGGACCGGGCCTGCACCCAGTTTGGGACCCAGGCAGGCATGGCAGCCTATCAGCAAAGCTTGGGCAAAAGCTGAGCCATACCAGACGAAGTGGGCCAGGTGGCACATGTAGGTGTTGTGGGCACCACGGAGCCCTGGTGCCAGGATGGGCACCACGATGCTGGAGAGGGCGCTGCCCACGGCTAACTGTGTGAGGAGGAGCTGATGGCCAGGCCAGAGCTGCCGGTGAAAGAGGGGTCTGAGCAGAGCGAAGAGGACAGCCACACTGGTCAGGATGCCCAGGACGCTGGCGAGGACGTAGAAAGGCAGTGAGGACTCGTCCAGCAGGCTGCAGGAGCGGCAGGGGGCAGCTGCGTCCATTCCAGAGTAGTCATAGGTCTCAGAATAATTCCACTCATCAGAATCAAAGGAAAAGCTACTCGAACTGTTGTCAGTGGAGGAGTCCACCTGGAGGGTCCCCGGAGGGACAATCACACATCTAGTTACCCCGCTGGTCTCTGGGGAATGAGAGGCCAGGGGAGGGAGGGAGACAGAGGGGTGCCTGGGGTGGAGAACACGGGGTGGGAGTGGGGATGCAGTGGGGCTGGTGGGAAAGGACATCGCAGTGGAGACTGGGGAGCCTGCAGAGGCAGAGTCATGGGTCAGCCAGGGCCGGGCAGGGGCAGGACTGGAGGGGAGGGGAGTCCCAGGGAGAGCAGCCAGGGGCCTGGATGGTACTGATTGAAAGACAAATGAGGAGGAAAAACATAGGGACCTAGAGTCAGGAGGTAAGAAGAGAGGGGAGACGAGGGAAGGGATATGAGATGAGGAGGGAAGGAAAGAACGAAAAAGACAGGGAGGAAAACAGAGGGGTAGGAGGGGCAGAGTTGTGGTTCCGCCCCACACTCACCGGGTGCAGGCAGTTCCCCATGACACTGCTGGGCTCACGCAGGCTGAGAGGGAGGCTGGGCAGCTCTGTCACCTGCTGTGGTTCCAAGATAAGCGCCGGGCTAATGAAGGCCATCAGTTCTGGGCAGGGCCCTTGGGTGGCACGGGGTGGGGGCACTCAGGAAGCCTTCACCCCACGCCCACTGCCTGTCTACGCTTGAGGCCCACACAGGGCATGGGCCCTGGGCTTCCTGTTTTGAGGTCGGATCCCCCTGGCGGGGTCCTGCACTTGGAAGAGGAAGGAGGTGGGGGCCAGAAGGTGGTACTTTCCCGAAGGTGGAAAGGGAGGCAGAGAAGCCAAGGGCTTTCCAGCAAGAAGGATTCCTTGGGTTCAAGGAAGGAAGAGGGGCCAGGGGTGAAGTGTGAGGCAGAGATAAGAGGCATGCTGGGAAGTTGGAGGGAAAGGCAGCTGATGAGGCTCACTGCTCCTCCACCCCTTGAACCTGAGCCAGTGAAAGTGAAAGATGGTGCAGAAGCCACGCGCTTGTGAGGAGTGCTCGTGGTGCGGGGCTGGGCTCTCTGTGTAGGAGTCCGGGAGTGAGAAGGGCTCATTTACCTGTGGGGTGGCGTGTGCCGTGTACCTGTGGGTGGCATGTGCCGTGTACCTGTGCACATGCCTGACGCAGGTGTCTGGATCTGGGGGTTTCACTGTGGGAGGGGGAGGCCTGCCTACTGAAGCTACTGCAGGGCGTGACTGGGCATGCGCCTCATCACCTCTGGGTACAGTGAAGGCACCTTCCAGAACAAGCAGGACATGTGGTCTGAAAGGTAGACAGGCTCTGGGGACAATGGGACAGCGTCTTTTCAAGGGGCCTGTGGCCTCTGGGGGAACCTCTGTTCGTGTCCGTGGGGGACACAGAGGCTGTGCGGCTGCTGCACCAGCGGCGACCTCAGCCCGGTGTCAAGTTCCTCGTGTGGGGAGAGGCCCTTTCTCTCCAGATGGCGACAGAGTTTCTCCCCGACCTCAGCCCGGTGTCAAGTTCCTCGTGTGGGAGAGGCCCTTTCTCTCCAGATGGCGACAGTTTCTCCCGGGAAGGGTCCCCTAAGCGACACACGCTGGCTCTTAGGCAACCCCTGTCCCCCAGGAGCTTTCCCAGGGTCTCTGCTGATTCGCCCCCTCCGCCCCCACGATCTATTTCTTCATTAGGGAGGCTTAGGCTGGACAGCGGAAGAGATGAGTGATGGCGTGTCTGGGTCCGAATGGGGAGGAAGAGGGGCTGCTTAGGCGACACTGTTTCGTTGGTGCAGGGAGGCATGTGGTGTTTCAACTCCAGTCCTGCCAGGGACCTCCATCCCATGCCCACGGGGCTCTGCAGGTGGAGTAGGGAAGCCCAGGGGCGAGAGAACGGGTGCCTTACAAAGACCATCCCCTCATCGCCCTGGACACTAGCCCAGGTTTACCATGGGGGCGGGGGCGAGTTGGGGGACCTGTTGAAACCATCCTGGAATGATGTCGGTGGCATGTTCACCGTCACCCCCACCTCCTCCCATCCTGCCTGGGGGAAGACAGGGAGGGGGAGCCGTCGGATGCTCCGCCCCAGACACTCAGGAAAGCAAGGACCCAGCCAGCGGGAGTGAACACACTTCTCTCCCTCGGAGAGTTGTATTGTTTCCGTACAGAGATGCCCTTGGGAGAGGGGCCCGGCGAGGCCACGCCACCCCTGCAAATACCGGGCGCGGGGGGATGCCGGCGAGCAGCCCTTAGACACGCATCCCCACGGGAGCGAGAGCGGCAAGAAGGAGGCAGCCGAGCGAGCGACACGGTGATCCGATATATTGAGGGTGCCCCTCTGAGATTAGCATAGGAGAGTTAGAAAGGTTATAAAGATATACGGTCCCCTCCCTGCGCCCGGCCCCACCCCCACCCCAGACAGACACACAAACACAATGGTCCCTCTTCCCCGACTCCCCGTACAAATATGGCTTCTGTATAATATGGACAGAGTGATTCCCTCAGAGGCAAAGTCAACTTCCCCGGAGCGGGTGCTAGGAGACAGGAGCCCGGGGCTGGGGCGCGGGCTGCCCGCTGCTGCGAGGGGAGAGCCTTGGCTTGGGGGGCTGCTGTGCGCCCAGGGCCCCAACCGGCTGCTGGAAAAGCCACGGTGTTACCTGCACTGGGGGGTGGGCAGGCCTGCGGGTGCAGCGGCCCCCCCTGTGCACACCCCTGGGTGTCAGCAGGGAGGACATGCCTGACGAGGGTGACAGCGGTGCCCAGGGGCATCCTGGGTCTGAGGCAGGGCGGCTGGCTGGGCCGGGAGCCTGAGCGACTCATCTCTATGGCAACCAGCTCAGGCCACGGAGGAAGACAGAAAATCAAAAGGAGGGGTGGAGTGGGAAGAAGGGAAGTTTCTCTCCAGCCCTCGGCTCACCGGGCCCAGAAGTGCCAGTGGTCGTCTAGGGTCGGGGCCAGGGAGAGGCCGAGGGTGCATCGCAAGGTGTGGCACTGACTCCAAAGCTCCGAGAAGGGAGGCCGGGCAGAGGTCTGACGCTCCGTGTTTTAGGGCGAGACTCGCTGGACAACTGAGCACGGACACATCCCGGGACTGCTTTCTCCATGACTGATGGGGCCGGGGGGGTGGCATGGAGGTGCCAGGATGAAACCACCTCCCGGGGAGGCCCCCCCGCTGGCTAGGAGCCCTCTCCTCCAAGGCCCTCCTTCACGGGTTCCACGGCCGCCACCTGCGAGGACCGCTCGCTGCCTCTCTCACACACAGATGTGCACACAACACACACGTCCACACACTCACAAAGTTCACATTATCTGCTTTGTTGGGGCAGGAAACAGCTCAGCGCAGTGAAGCTCCTTTTAGTGTTCTTGTGGTTATATCTGCCTGGCTGCTGGGAAGGGGGGAGGGCTGAGGGACAGCGGAGGAATTGGAGGGGCAGGGGCACGGGGCAGGAGGAGGAGGTGGTAAACAATGCCATAAGAGGAGTGGTTGCCCAGCAACAGTCCAGGGCTCGGTGAGTGAGGGCCCCTGGGCAGGGGAGCAGACAGAGGCCTCTCCACGGCTGCTGGAGCAACGAGGGGCCGCCTTGCCCTGCGACCCCCAAGGGCAGCTCCTGTGTAAAGGGCCTGGCTTCATACATCCAGGGGGACAAGGGTAGGTGGGCCATCGCGACATCCTGCCTCTCCAAATCCATCCCTCCTGGCGGGGACCACGTCCTCCTCATGTGGACACCCTGGGTCCCTGCGTGGCTGCCTGCCATCTGCAGGTCCCCTCCTCAGGAACCCCAGGGACGTGGAAGAGGGGGAGCAGGGAGGCACGGTCTGTCCCCCTCTGGCTCTGCTCACAACCTCCTCGTCCCAGAGAAGTCCAGGCAGCAGCTGCTCTGCGCAGAGGACGGAGGGCTGGCACGAGGCCCCCACCCCCGCCCCCCCATACACCAGTCCTGCTCCTGTCCTGTCCTGACCTCTTCCCCCTCCTCCTCCTCCTCCTCCAGCTCCAGGGCCTTTGCTCCTCTCTCCCCGGGCCCGGCCCCCCGAGCCTGGAGACAGGTTTGATTTGGGATTGTTACAAAAATAATAATAACCCAAATGCAGAGAAGCCAAGGAAAGGGCCAAGGGCAGCCCTCCCTCCCCCCCTCCCCTCCCCATTCCAAACCGAGTACAAAACCGCACCCAAAGCAGACATTCTGTACAGGGGTGGGGGCTGGGGAGCAAGCGGGAGGGCGGCCCCGGGGTTGCTCTGTACAAGTCCGAGGTGGTTACGGCCCCAGATGTGCCCGTGGGGTCCCTGCAGGGGCGCAGGGGAGCGGGCCCCTAGATGAAATACTCCTTCTTGTCGTCCCCGCCCGACTGCCCGCCTTCCGCGTTGATGATGGCTGTGTCCGCGTCTGGCGCATCGTCGGAGCCTTTTGCTTCATGTGTCAGGTAGGTTCCTGGGGGGGCACAGAGGCTCCTCTTCCAGGAGCAGCTTCCAAACCTCTGACGCCCCTGGCCCACGCTCCCACCCGCCCATCCATGCCTGCTCCTGGCCAGAGCTTCATTCCTCCCATCAGACCCAACGTGCACTTTGCTGCCAACACCCCTCACCCGACCACACCCCTACGAATTCATGAGTGCTGCCTTTAAATAGAGAATCCCAATAATACTGGCAAAAAAGTAACAGCGTGTGTGTGCAGATGTGCTTGTGTCTGTATGTGTGTCTACGTATGCATGTACAGTGCATGTCTATGTGTATATATGCATGCACATGCATGTGTATATGAGCACATATGCATGTGTCTCTCTGTGTATGTCTGGTGTGCCTGCAGGCCTGTGTGTAGACATGCATGCCCTCGTACATATTTACGTGTGTGTGTGTGTGTGTGTGTACATGCGTGTGCTTGTGTGTGTCTCTGTGTGTAAGGCGGTGCTAAGGGAAACTGGCATGTCGGTTCCTTGTGTAATGCAGTAGAGAGCTGGCCAGCACCTGATCAGTCGGGTAGTCTGGCTGCAGCTAGAAGTTACTAGGGGAACATCTGAGAGGAAGGCACGTGAAGAGAGGGTAGCGAGATGGCGTGCGTATAGGAGAGAGGAAGAAAGAAACAAGACATTGTGGAGACCAGGGGCAAGGAGGTCGAAGGTCAGGGAAAATGAGGCCGAAGGTCAGGGAAAATGAGGCCAGACAGAAAGTCAGGAAAGTGTCAAGAGATGGCAAGAAGAGGCAGAGCTGTGCAGTTCCCTGCTGGAGGCGAGAGCCCTGGTGGCGGAGCAGCGTGGGAGCAGCAGCTGGCTGAGTGGGAAGGTTTGATTCTGTGGCTGATGAAAGCAGTGAGGCTGCACTGAGGGGCCTGGGGGCTCCATCACTACCGAGGTGCCTGCGTTCTTCTTCTTCAAACCTCAGAGGGGCTGCCGGGTCCCCGAAGGCCCTCCCTGCAGCCAGCTCCCGCCTACCTCCCAGAGCCGACCCGCCTCCCTCCCCGCGCCCACCTCTCCTCATCCTTCCCTCACAGCTGACCTTTGTGCCGAATCAAGTAGTGGCCGATGAAGATGAAGAGGATGAGCAGCAGAAAGACAATGAACGCCACGATCCCGCCAATGATGGCGTGGTAGGTGCTGGAGGCCGAGGGCACCGGACTGGGGTCTGGAGAGAAGGGGCAATGCACACGGTCAGGCCTGAGAAACCCAGTATTCCAGCATCTCCGGCCGGGCCACAGGGAGCCTCACCCAGCAGAGAACACAGGCTGACCTGGGAGAATGCAGTGGCTGGAGTGGCGTCGCTCAGCAAGGGGGCTGGGCCTTACCACGTTTCTCACACAGTGTGTGGGACATAGCAACGTTTGCAAGCATTAATGTGCTCGTGCATCAATAGATACATCTCCTCCAATTAACCCTTTAAGTCGAATTCATGGCCCTGAGGTTGGACCTTAACAAAGTCCAAGTTCATCACTTTCATGTTTAGGTCATCTCTTGAACTCTCTCCCTCTCTCCCTGTCTGCCTCTGTTTCTATATTTCTTTCTTCTAATCTCTGGGCTTTCAGAGTATTCCTTCCCTATCCTCCATCCCTCGTATGCTTCTGTCCGCTTGATATTCTGAGATGGATTCTCCGCAGGGGGCTTCTCAACCTGTGACTCCTTTGCCCTGAGATCAGACAGAGAAGGAGCAGTGAAAGACTGATGGGCCCCAGAACTGGGCACTTATGTAAGATACACCTTAAAAATGAGATGCTGCGCCCCCCTGCCCTGAAGACCAGAGCTCCCCTCGGCGAAGTTTGAGTTCCAGCAAAACCCAGCCCTCCAGCACGTCTCATCAGGAGGGCCTGCGACTGCATGTTCACTTCCCACCCCGCAGAGGCTTGTGGGAAGTTGAAGATTTCCGTTACGAAGTCCCGCCGTGATGCCTCCCAGGATGGCCGATGTCTCTGCCACCGGACAGCGAACCTGTCCTCCGTAGCAGCGTCCGCGGAGGATCGATGCCCACCGCACAGAGGGGCCAGGCATGCCAAGGGCAGCACCTGCCAGGGCAGAGTC